GAAACTGTAATCCATAGTTTCAACATCGGATTTCGATCTATCATCGACGCGAGGAAAGCAAGACGAACGGATGATTTGGTCAAAGTTCAAGGGAATAGAAACACAAAAGGGGACAATGGTGTAAACAGGAAAGAAAGATGATTGCTATGACTACGATGATCAATCCTCCCCTCTTCTTCTCCTCCTCCAAGCATGCATCGATTGTAGTAAATTTACTAAAGAGCACACGTTGAAACACACATGCGCCTTTGATTCCCTTGTTGGTATATCGTAGCTTGTGTCATAAGTACTTATGCATGCAGTGTAACATCAATCATGCACTACCCCTCATCAAGCCAAGTAATCAAACAGAAAGCTCGAACAGAAGAAAAATACACAAAAACTCATGTTGGTATGATAGTCATCATTTATATTCATCGATTACGCCACGTACTTCTTTAATATACATTCAAAGCTGACTAGCTGTCATGATGTAGTAAAACTTGCAGCTCCCTCCCAAACGCCATACTATGAAGAAACAACTTGCATAACCTTGTGCACAGTTACTGTTTCGTTACGATCAACCCCTTTCCATCAAACGAAGAATAATTGATACGGCGTAAAAACCTCTGGCGAAAAAGAATCGGGTGAACCAGAAATACCTCATCCGCGCCACTCCCCCCCCACCAACCACCAGAAACTAGGCAAATGTGGAGAAGCTTGGAGATATGCAGGGTATGGTGAAGAAGAGAGCTTATTTAAATTATACATTTTGCGTTTGGTTTTGAGATTTCGACGTAAAGAAAGATTTTGCTGTGAGGTCGACGACAGAATCATAATCGTTGAAAGAAAGATCATTATCGATAAGAATATCCTGTATAAGATTCAGAAGTTAGCTTCAATGATAATATCCACCATTGGAATTTCCATTGCCGGGCCATTGAGGTTGTATGTATGCTCCAGGCTGTTGTTGCTGCCCTTGCCATCCTCTATTCTCAAAGCTCGCATTTCGTGAATGAGAAGTTGCCTGGCTATATCCGCTTCCCCATTGATTATCCTGGGGTGTGACCGGAGACCTGGTGTAATCATGACCCTGAATTACGCTTGAAACTCGATCATCTACAGGAAGATAACCAGGCTGCGACATGCGCTGCGGCTCCCCAGAATATCCATTACTTCCAGTATTTTGTACACCATAACTATGGGATTCATGAGTATTGGGAGCTTGGTAACTGGGTGTCATACCGTCATAGCGTTGCTGCGATTGTTGTGGTTGAGGTTGTTGAGGTTGTTCTCGCGCACTTTTCCATTGCATGAAATCCGGCACCTCCGTACGGGCAAGGAGCTGCACCAAATCACTTGGGATGAATTTGACGCCCTTCAATTGTGGGTCACGAAGATAGATATCAGACCGAGGAATAATGCTAAGGAGGAATGTGATATCTCGTGGAATTACGTATGGTGCGGCGTTTGATTGCCATGCAGGTGCACCTTGCGTTTGTTGTATTCCCTTTTGTTGCGCCAACCTGCGTCCTGCAGCTCCCTTCAGAGGAGATTGACCACGAGCCAGTTTTCGTGGAGGGTTGAGCTCGCTTTCAAAATCTTCGGTTGGGAATGGTCGCTTTGGTGAGTTTGTGTTTTGATTCTGCATAAATGGTGGCGGTTGCTGTGGGCGAGGGCTTTGTTCTTGTACGTATTGTGGACGTGGACTATCTGGAACGGATGGAGCTTGCTCAATTGATTGCATGACCAACTTTGGCCTCATTTGTGAAGCAGGCGAAACAATTGGTCGTACAGCTGTAGGGTCGAATCCCTCCACACTGTAACGCGAAGAGAACCTGAGAAGCTTTGGATCATCCGGAAAGAGTTCCGCCATGCGCTTTTCTAGCTTCTTGATTTGGTCTAACGTTCCAAATTGAGATTCGTAGCTATGGAAGTAAACGTAAAGCGGCTTCGTCTTGTGAACAGTTTCGGGTTTCTGTGCTAGACGACTAACTGCAGTTTCGAAAGCTACCCTGGCATCTATGTCATGATTAGCATGGTCGAGGGAAATGCTGAGGTAAAAAAAAAACTTACTGGTGATGTCAGAAATGGAAATCAAGTGCTTTAGATACTCGAGAAGGTAGGTTTCATCGGTTGGGAAAAGTTTAGCGCCCCTTTCAAAGATCTTAGTACCAGATTTATCCTTGTATACCATGTGTTCAATCAACGCGCTGGCGACGTAAACTTCACTTGTGATCATGCCGCGTTGACGGGCCTCAGCAAAGACGTATCTTGATCCGGTTTTAGCGTCAATCGCACCATTTCCTTGAATGCGTCGCATAGCCCTCATTAGTGCAATCCAGGAGAAAGATACGGTTCTCTGCAAAAGTTTTCTCTGCATTTCATAACCTTGTGTGATAGCGTTCAGTTGGGCAGCTTTAGCACTTTCTCGGGCATCTTTATCGGGATCACTATCATCATCATCATCCTCTGCCTTTCGCACAATTGCACTGATGGAAGCGTCGATAGCTGAGTTTTCCTCAAGTTTAGCCTTTTCTTTTGTCTCTCTGACTTTCAAGTCCGCAATCAGTTCATAAAGAGATTCCAGAAGCTTGGCGTAAGGTGCCCGAACAATTGTTCCTTTCTCGACATCGCTTTTCCCAGCTTCCTCTGTAGAGAGCGTAGACTCAAGTCGATCAGCTTTCTTGAAAGCTATCAGACAACTCTCAGGGTTTGCGGCAATTCCATCGGCGAGAAAAGTATCGCCTTCCTTGTCTAAGTTGTTGTTGAAGCACCACTCAGCAGCGTCTACCCATATCTCAGGCCAAAAGCGTAACGCCATGACAGCTTGCTTGTAGACATATAAGATGCGCTGTTTGTAAGCATCCAGCTCATCCGCCTGGAGAACCAAGGGATCTTCCTGCTCCCAAGCTATCCACTTCTTCCATAGATCGAGTTGATGTAAGTACTCCTGATCGCCCTCAAATCCAAAAGCAGGTGGAAGTCGAGGTAAAGTTGTGCGCTGAAGTCCGCGAATGATATTCTCAAGCGCAGTATTCGCACTTCTTGCAGTCATATAATTTGGAGATCTCTCTTGAAGAAATTTGCGACCCTAACATGATCTGTCAGTTCTGAACCGTAACAAAATTTGAGAACCAAAACCTACCGTCATCTTATTCAGGCCCATCTCAAATTGATCATACTGTTTCCACAATTCATTCACGTTTGACATGGGAACACAGATGGCACGTTGATAGACTTTTCGCAATTGATCCATCTTTTGTTGATCTTGCCAACTATTGCCACCAATTGAACCAGGTGCACTACGAATGAATTGAATATAATCCTGCCAAATTTTACCAGAATCCCTATCAATCCCAATGTTTGCCAACACAAAATCGTATGCTTGAGACACGGTTGCACGAGCTGTACCACTGGGATCGACATTAAGGTCATTCATGCGGCGAATGTAGTTCAAATAAACCGACCATAATTGAATGTTCGGGACCGTTAATAATGATTTGCCAAAAATTTGTTCTGCTGCACCAAAGTTTTCGTATTCGAGTTCCATTTCAGTATAAGCAACCCATATCTCTGCCTGATTTGCTGTTAGTAAGTGTCGCAAGAGAAGAGACTGCCTGACTTATAACTTACAGAGTGTGGAAAGACCTTCAGGAATCTTTCATAGACTGCTCTGGCATCATCCAACTTGTTACGCTTGCGATGTTCACCGATCAAAGAAAGCCATGCTTCCATATCACCTCGTGGATCCTCCTTGACCCGATCTTCAAGCATACCAATCTTATCATGGGGAAGGCGAGCTCTAGGAACAGATGTACCTTGTGATGTACCAACAGGAATGGGCACTTGCACCGAAGATTGTTCTATAGGTGTTCCAACATTACTCGGGTTCATGGAATTGGGAACAGAGGAAAGTGCCTCGGGCTTGGAATCAACTTGATTCTCCAATTTGATGGATACTTCCTGTTGAGTAATAGAATTTTGCAATGGAGAAGGAGATCGTTTGGGGTCATCAGAGGCTGGAAGTTGCAAATGACCAGTATTAATTGGTGTAGATTCGTCATTCTCCTCATCAGAATCATCTGCAATAAAACCCCCGACAGTCTTTGGTTTGCGCACAGAAGTTTGAGAGCTGGGTCTTGTAATATCTTGTTCAGTTACCACAGCTGGAAGGGATGTAACAGAAGAAGGGTCATAATCGTCGCCAGCGGCCGAAGCAGCTGCGCCTGAAGGAGACAAAGCACGAGAAACTTGGGCATCTTTAACGGAATCTTGCTTGACATGTTCGTTGTTATCTTCTGTATTTGAAGGTAGATCACCCTCTGCGATTCCATTATCTCCATCTTCCCAAGCCGTAGCTTCTTGACCTGCCTGAAACTGATGTAAAAGAGCTATATCTGCATCTTCCTCCGCCATTTTGAAGACAAGACCGTTTCGAGTTATTGTTTGGAAGTGCGAGCGACAATTTTGAGTCAAAGTGGTAGGTATCGTAAATATTAATGGTCAAAAGTGTCTAGAAGATCATTGGTTATTAGTTAGCAAATGCACTTGCGTCGTTGTAGTGAGAAGATGTTAAGGGCAAGTTGGATGAGGCGAGGCTAACCTGTGTAGAGAATGCAACAAACTTGCGCGCAAAGTCAAAGGATCGTCGGCGCAACAAAGAAAGTAGGTAGAGTATCTAAGTCAATCAACTGTTGATTTCTTGATGATTGTTGTTGTAGAGGGACTCTTCAAAAAAAAGAAACAAACAAGATTTCTTTCCTTGTAGATATCGCCAAAAGTTGAGAGAGCTCTTTAGCTGCTAGGTACGTACCTAGCAACAACCTTGGAAAGAAGGCGAAGAAAATGAGAGCGACGCGCTAATACCAAGTAGGGTTAGCGTGTATCGTAGAGTGGAAATCGCGGTTCAATACACGCGATTTGGATTTTCCACACGCGTTAATACTGCCATTACTCACCGTGGTATTTGGAACTAAATGCTACCCCATCAACCAATTTATCGACTTTATTCGTCTCGACCCCCCGTGCTTTCTTCTCTTCTTCCAATACACAATACAATCACTACCATACAATCACTACCATAGTATTTCTCACAACCTTACAACATTCACTTGGTTGGCGTCTTTTGGTTAGAAAGAGTACAAATCTTGAATCGATTTTTGGAACTCATCTAAACATTATACGAAACAGCAAAATCAACCACTTTCAAGATGTCTGTCGTCTCACTCCTCGGTGTCAATGTCCTCAACAATCCAGCCAAATTTGGGGATCCTTATGAGTTTGAGATCACTTTCGAGTGTCTTGAGGCATTGCAAAAGGGTAAGTCACTGCTCTGCCTCTCTTGAGATTGCCGTCACCTCCATGTTCTCAATCGCTAATCTATCTATTCATCACAGATCTCGAATGGAAATTGACCTATGTTGGTTCTGCCACGTCGTACGTCTCCACCTCTTGAGTTTCTGCCTACTTCAAATCTGAAATTAACAAAACAAAGCGATGAACATGATCAAGAACTCGATTCTCTCCTTGTCGGTCCTATCCCAGTCGGCACAAATAAATTCCTCTTCCAGGCAGATGCCCCAGATACCAAGCGAATCCCAGATGCAGAAATCCTCGGTGTTACCGTCATTCTTCTTACTTGCGCCTACGATGGTAGAGAATTTGTTCGAGTTGGATATTATGTCAACAACGAATATGATTCTGAGGAATTGAATGCCGATCCCCCCGCCAAGCCACTCCTAGACCGAGTCAAGAGAAATGTTCTTGCTGAGAAACCCCGTGTCACTAGATTTGCTATCAAGTGGTGAGTCACCATGCACTCTTTAGGCAAAGTCACAAGCTAACAATTTTCCACAGGGACTCCGATGCATCTGCTCCTGCTGAATTCCCCCCTGAACAACCCGAGGCAGATTTGGTCGCCGATGGAGAAGAGTACGGCGCCGAAGAAGCTGGAGAGGACGAGGACGAGGAAGTTGAGGGAGAGGAAGGTGGCACAGCTGACCCAGATGCAATGGAACAAGATTTAGAGATGGCTGGCGTAGAAGCTGAGGGAGTTGCCGCTGAAGAAACTGGTGATGAGAGTGAAGATCTTGAGGCTGAGAGCAGTGGCGAATCCGATGAGGAAGTTGAGGAAGAAGAAGGTGCTGGAGATGATGACATGGAGATGGATGGCGTTGAGAAGCCAATCTCCGGAAAAAGTGGTGCCGTTACACATCAAGTTGATGTTGTCATGGCCGCCTAATTTCAATACCCCATACCCCATACCCCATACATAGTTTTTGATTTTAGAATTCATTGAGCGCGTTACGATAGGTTATGACTGGTAGGAAAACAGATATCAAGATAGCTACATGATGAATACAAAAAGTCAATAAGGATACCCTCGACAGGAATCTCGAATAGGCTTTTGAATGCTTTTAGTAGAGCATAAGAATTATGAACATATTTTCATCTTACTTAACCCTCTCACTGCGTTGATATTACTTTTGTCTCACTTCCTCCTGCTGAACTAGATTGGTGATACTACCTGTCACATATTTATGAAGCGAATAGCCAACTGGGCGCCAATTCTGACACGCAGCAAACTTTGGGTGGCTAGCACCTTTTTTCAACCACTGACAGGTGATTATTTAGCCTAGGGAGCTGTTCATGAATTTGACATTGAAGTATTCACAGTTTCCCCTCATTGTTATTCCCACCTTTAGCATTGAATTCACACCTTAACACAGCCAAGGTCCTATCCGTATTCCGAGCCAAGTACAGAACCTTCATTTTTGCAATGCCTTCTCGATATAGGAGCCATCGTCCGACTTCCGTTTGTTCACATACGATTCATGAAGGCACTGAAGGAAGATGTCCAAATATCGTAGCAAACTTACATATGTAGATAACATCATTTTCACTCAAGAGGGGAAATATCGCGAGAACGGTAACAGCGAATGGGTTCAGAAGAGCCGATATTGTTGTTATGTGTATATACTAATCATTCAATGATTCAATCATATCTGGAGTTTTCCCATTTCTAGCCAAGCCAGCCAGCCAGCTAGCTAGCAACGAACCACCCCAACGCCGGACCACCTGACTTGCAAGATATCAAATCTCACACCATATCTAACCTCCAAACTTCAAACTCCGCGCTCAGCCCTGCATCAAAACAAAGCTACAAAGTCCATTTTCTCACTTTGATTCCTTGTGTTTCTTTCTCGTCTGAGTCGTCTCGGTCGTCTCCCTCAAGGGAATCTTCGGAGCCTTTCTTTTGTTTCCAGTGTTTTCCTTGCTGTTGCCATCGTGCGTTCTGGCTTCCGAGGTGAACTGCAGTCCTTTACTCTTGGGTTTATTTCCAGTATTCATGTTTAATCGAGGGGGGACTTGTTTCTGTGATTCTGAGAGGCGTTTGGAAGACACTTGAGGCTTGTGTAGATGGAAGCTTTTAGAATGTAATGAAACTGATGGGAATTGATATGAAATGATTAGAATTGGCATGCGCAGGAATCGGAATATATAATTTTTAGAATTCCAACTCATCTAGGCAGCACCATGTTGGTGAAGTTTGAACTTCTCGATCTCCAATCTTCGACTAGGCACCAAACCATTATACATGTTCATTAACCATGTTTCGTGCTAAAAAAAATATTTATCACAGAGGTCTGGATATTGCCGTGACGATGTATGTAATAGGAGGGTCATGAGATTTCTCACCGGAAGACCTGCTAGCCAGCGTTAGTTTAGATTAATTAAATTTCATCCTCATGGTGGAAACATCTTCAACAATTCTATGCAATTCTGTTGCAATCGATCTGTTTGTATATCCTTTGATCTGAATTTCTCTAAGGGTTCACTCAGTCTACGCACCCCAGATTTTCAAACTGGCTCTCGATTATATGCAACTCGCGCTTCCATCTAACCCTCAAAAACAAATAACGCCCCAATTCAAACTCACACAAATATGCACCCACAGCTACAAAACATCTCGAATCTACGGGCCGTGTTAGTAGAATCATACATGACTTACGCCACACTACCAGACCCATATTAGACCTTCATCAGATCCTCCGTTTCCTAATTCAACTATCTGTCCCGGACTCGGCCCCAACATTCCCCCTCATATTATGCTGCCTGGGGTCTCTGGTCTCCCGCCTTCTCCACTTTTCAACCAGTTGTCGCCTAGCTATGGTAACTAGCCCACGACATTTTTGGGCAAAATTGAACCAGACGTAACGTCACTCCTTATTACATGGTAAAAATTTCATGAAATACTTCATTAAGTAGATAGATAAACTTGATGATATTTAGTCAATTTTCGACTACAATCATAGTAAGTAAACTCCACCTGATCTAAATAGCTTGAGCGGGGTGCCTCTATCCAATAATCTTCTAACCCAGATCAAATATCAATACATTCACAACATTGAGAACTGCATAAGTTTTGGATTCATACATCAAAATGTAATACCATTTCATTGAACGGTGATGTCATGTATTTCATGAAGTTAAACTTGCTAGTCTAACGCCCATCCTTCGTACGCTCCCTACTTCAGAATCATGTATTCTTTTTCAGTATCCTCGAAGTATCCCAAAGCCAGGTATCCACTAAATCCCAAGAACGCCCATTCAATACGACCATCTGCCCGTGCCGTCCATTTCACTGCCCGTTAAAACCATTTCCCAGTAATTCCACCCAACAACATATTCCTCTTCTGTTTGTTGACATACTTACTAACGTCATCCGCCCACCCCGCACTATTCTCTTGTACCTTATCTAAATTATCTCCCATGATATTGAGTTTCTCCGTCCTCTCATTGAGTTGTCTAGTCATGTAATCGCCCCACCCCTCTTGACTCCCACTAGGTCCAGCTCCACCTCCAACACTCCGAGCTAATCGTTCCTCTTCAGCTGAAGCGGCAAGCATGCGTTTACTAGGTGGACGACCAGGACCACCGATTAAGATATCGAGGTCGGTAGGAGAGACGTATTGAGTTCCGGATATCCATTGAAGATTTGAGATGGTAGGACGGGGAGGAATTAATGCTTCGGGATTGAACAATTTATCTTGACTTCTTCCAAGTAGAAGTCCGGTTCCCCAGACATTAACCATTGCTATCTCACTAGGACCAGTCCAACCAATAATATCCCCAGCAGGTGTAACGACACTATTCGACGAACGGGTTTTGTCCAGCATGTCCAATTTCGATGAGCCAATTTCTTTGAGTGCTGGAAGCGAGTAAGCGCGAGCTGTTCCATCACCAAAAACTCCGACGAGAGCGAAACCATGAAGTTCGAATTCGGTTACGGCAGCGGAATCACAAAAGACATCATCAAAGGTTTTGTGAGCACCTTTGGCACTGGAGGGTTTGAATATGCGGGCTTCCGTTTGGGTAACTATAGGATTATTAGTATTATATCAGATGGAAAAACGAACTCAGCCAAGAAAGGAATGACTGAAAGTGTAAGAAGCTACTGACCTCCTCACATAGGAAAGGAGGTCAATAGGGACCACGAATTTAGTGAACTTACCAACTACAAGGGCACCGTGTGTTTGCTGTCCATTTCGAAGTGCAGCTACGATAGGACCTGTTGCTGATGCAGGCTTTCCTGTTTCAGCTACAATGGGTGTAATTGAAATTACTTTATCGGAGCAAGAGGTCACTCCTGCTAACTGAGCTGTATATCCACCATTTTGTTGTGGTAAGATCTTGAATGTGGCGACCTTACCATTGTTCGTTCCCACGAAACAAGCAATGCTAGAGTATTTATCATCATCTAGTGTCATGACTCCAAATTCAATACATACGGGCCACTCCGGTTTGGCTGTAGTTTGGCTACTCCCCTTTCTCATGAAACTGCTTCTTTTATCTTGCTTGACGAAGTCACTCATCGCAGTGGTGAAGATGACCGATGGCCCTCGGAGATCGATGATTGAAAAGATTCCACCTTCAGACCCAACTCCCACAAATCCCACATCTGACGTACGGATTGCACTTATGGGTCCATGTGCCATGTCATAAAGGATAAATGGTTGTAGACCTTCCTTGAGAGATGGTTCTGCACGAACTGAAATATCCGTGATACCTCCTGGTTGCCTCTCGTTTGTCGGTTGCTCGCTACCATAGGCTCGATTGCCACCCCACCTATACACCACGACTTCACCGGCTGCTGTTCCAACACACAGCTCCCCAGTACTTGAAGCCATATTGACAGCAGAGATGTTGACAAATTCAGCACCCGCAACAGCTCTAGCCACATCGACTTGTAGCATACCGGAGTTTTCTAATTCATCCCCATGACCAGCGTCCCAAATTCGGACTGTACCATCACCGTGAGCCGTCTGAATGATATTACGAGCTTCATATCTCCTCAAATGCTTCACGCCCTCGGCCCCTCCTTTCAGAAGTTGAGGGCCTATAGCTCGAGTTTCTGTCATGCCGAGCCATCGCCCACGATCAACGGCAGATACAGCCACGAAAGTGACGAAAGGATGAACAAATGTAAGAGAAGGGTGAAGTTGATTGGTTGGTGAAATAGGATGACCACTAGGGAAACTTAATGTAACTAGCTCACCAGATGTCAGAAGTGCTATAACGGCAATAGGGTCTTGAGCACCGGCAAAATGTGGAGAAGTACGAGGAATAAGACAGAAATCTGCTATATCCACGTCAACAGGAATTGGTAGGAAATTTGAACGTTTTCCATCAAAGTGATCAGTCAGAATTTGCCAAGTGGAGGTTGCATAAACAGGAGTTACTCCCAACTCCATAAATGTCAATCCTTTTTGAGGCATGGTGGTGGGGATTCCACCAGCTATGAGTAGACCAGTATCATCGGGGTTCCCTTTGCAGCACCAAGCTATTTTTGCAAAATCTCCCTTCAACGAAAAGGTATCACCGGATCCTTGGGGTTGAGAACCAGGTACATTTACATGTGTATCTTGTAGGGTTCGAGCCATTATAATCCGACCGTCTTTAGGATCCCAAAATACAATGCTTGCATCATCATGCGCTGTAGCAATGAATGTTCCAGTTGGATGCCAAAGAGCTTGCGTGAGACGTGGTTGTCTCGGCGTACTCTTTCCCATAAAATCTCCATTCCCACCGGGGGCTCCAGCTGGTACTTCGTATTTAAAATATTTTATGGGTTTGTTTTGTTTGAAAGAGTATATCACAGCTCCTTCTGTGTATCCTATCAATAGCTGTCCAATATCTCTGGGGTGTAGTTGTAAAGACACACAACTTAATAACCTCGATCGTGGGTTCATTTCACGCCAAAAGTTGGGAAGACGTAATGGCGCAAGCTTCTCTCTATCCAGGTCGTAGCAGATAATATCTCCAGTTTGTAGTCCGATCAAGCACCAATCCAGCATAGGATCCGTCACAATGGTTGTCACTACTCCTGGCGGAGAGTAAGCCGCCAACTTCTTTGCCTTTGCCAAATCCCATACTATCACTTCGTTTTTGGAATCTACACTGATGAGTCTATCGGCGCAGAATTGTAAAGTTTTGACTGATGCCCGGCGGGGTAATGTAAGCTTTACTTGGACTCTCTTCTGACCAAAGATATAAATTTGTCCACTTCCGAATGTCGTCTCGTTCGTTCCCACTGCAAGTAGAGATTGGACTGGATCGAACGCGAGAGAACTAAATGGGAGAGAAGTTAGTTGAATGCCTTCAATTTAGACGGCGACGGACCCGGACATACCCTATTTGAGAATTGATGCCGAAACGATCTAGATCATCAGGCGCAAATAGACCTGGCAATATACCAGCAGATAAATCATTTTGTATACCCGCTTGCTTTCCACGTAGAAATGCTGCCATTTTGAACTGACAGATGTGGAATTATAATCGTTGTTGATATTGTGTTTGGGTGTTGGGTATTTATTACCTTTGATAGTGGCCAGGAGGATCAATGCTGTTGGAAGAACCCTGAAATTGCTTTATTGGCGTCATCTGAAGGAACCTACGTGGTATTTCTTGGCTATGAACGATGAAAAAGATATTGAGGGGGTTTTGTTAAACATCATTAGACAAAGATCATCAACACAACTTAAAATATTTATATCTTCACATTGATTGATATGTTATCATTCATCTAAATTTATTTCTTATCCGTCCACACAGACGTTCAATCATGTGGGCGCATGCGCTATGAAGTAGTTTTTTGACAGCAACAGTGCCCTTACAAAAGTTGCAGGTGGTACCTAAGGTCCAAGACACCAACTAACTACCTGCTTCGAACAACAATTCAAGCATCCAAATATGAGGTTCTTCAAAGATGTATATACAGAATCTCCATTCAACAATAACTATAGAACTCCATATCTCATATGGCTAATATTGCACATATCCATCCTCGTACCACCCAAGCGCAAATTACATTCAAGGTCGAGGTTGTCCTTGTTGCCATCCCCAAATCTCCCAATATTCATGCCAGGCACTTCGTATATTTGCATCCCTATTCTGCAATCTTAATAACCCTTCTTTCATTAAAGCAGGAAGCTCCCTCTCCAGTTCTTCCCGCCGCACCCCTGCCTTGATCAATTCTTGCGTTAAGTCGATTTGTTTCTTAATCTGCGCGACAGGATTGATGTAATACGGTGGGGGCAGGATTGCATCAGCAGCTCGTTTCTCGGCTGCTACTTGATCGCATTCTTTGCAACGCGGTAATGTGCGATCACAATCGAGGGAGGCTCTGATTCGAGGGAACTTGAGAGCAATATGTGCAAATGCAGGAGGTAGAATGAGGGGACGGTCGCAGGCCGGACATGCGGACATATTGATTTGTAGATGAGTCTCAGACGAAATGGGGTCGACAATGACTATAGGTGAGTATGATTCAAGGATGGATGTCAGGTATAGCAAATGGTCATAATTGAAAGATCGATTCGAACCTTCCTGACTGTACAATTCTTACCATCTTTACCTCATGTGAACAAAGAGCAAATTGCAAATGAGACTAGATTGGGCAACCAAGAATTGAAAATTCTTCATCGCGCACTGCAACCGTTCTTTGTCCGTTTTGGTGTGGCTGAAAGCAAATGTATGGGCAACAACACAAGCCCAACTAGATCCATTCGCGTGCAAAGTGCAAATCATGCTGTTGAATCCAAGACAATGCTATTTGTAGTTGGCTCCGAAAACAATAGAGAAAATAACAAGAATGGATTGGATGTAAATGTCCCGTTTTTTATATTTCTCCATGACCCAACGCATTCTCATGCCATAGGATGGAGGGTAAGTAAACGAAAAGATTCTCTTCTATCCTGCAATTTCCCCTCCAAGATCCCGCCATTGAAAGACAAAAGACCAGAGTGAATATTGAGGAATCAGTTTTAGTTTTATGAAGAGAAAAAGAAGAATCGGAATTCGAACTTGAAGATTGGAGATTATCTTGTACTCGAATTTTCAACATCATGTGATCTAAGCGAGCAATGGCGCCAACCTACCACTGAACTAAGCTTCTAAATATCGGCCAGTCGGCTTTTGGCATGATTTTTTTCATTCATTATCTCATTGGTCAAGGTCTCCCTTTGTTTTGAGCTAACGACTCTCATTAGTGCGGCGGGGTTTGTTTTTGTATGCGCCCCGCACTAAAATCGATATCTTCTAAATAGATTAAAAGCTCAATCAGTCATCATCCTTTTACCTGACATCACAAGATAAAAAAGTTACCTTGACGTTAGCATTCGATCAAATCTTCAACGCCAATACACCTCGAATCAAATAATCAATTCTCGATTTTCTCGACATCATCTAAAGACAAGATGGCTCCAGGAGGACCAGCAGCCGGACGTGGCAGAGGTGGGAAATTCAAGAAGTTCACTCGTGGAGGTAAGAATATCATGAATACAAGTGCTACATTGTGAAACATCCTGATTTGAACTTTCCAATAGGTGGTAAACACTTCTCTCGTGATCTTCGACCTCTCGACGCCAATGGAAACGAAATCCGCGAAAAGAATGCCGATGATTCATCCTCAGAAGAAGAAGAGGAATCGGAGGAGGAATCTTCTGAAGAAGAGGAAGAGGAAAAGCAAGAGATGACCCGTGAACAACGTCGCGCCGCTGCCAAAGCAAAGAAAGAAGCTGCTATCAAGAAGAAGAACCAAAAAGTCGCACAAGTTGGTGATCTTCCAACCGATAGCGAAGAAGAGAGTGAGGATGATGACATGCCCGCCAATCCCAATCATAGCAAGGCCGCTAGAGACCAAGCAAAGGCACCTCCAAAATCTATTGATGAAGTTGCCGATGACGTTGCAAAGATGAGCGTCAGCAAGGAACCTCAAGAGTTGAGTCGCAAGGAAAGAGAGGCAATTGAGGCTCAAAAGAAGAGAGAAGCATACCAAAGATTACATCTTGCTGGAAAGACTGACGAAGCTCAAGCCGATCTCGCAAGATTGGCAAAGGTCAGAGAGGAGAGACGCTTGGCAGCAGAACGCAAGGCTGTATGTTCCAATATACTCCCCTCCTTTTTTTGTCTTGAGATCATGCTAATTTTACGCAGGCCGAAGAAGAAGAGCGTAAGGAACAGGAGCAAGCAAAGTCAGAGCAATTGGCGAGGGAACAAAAGAGAAGAGAGGATGCCATGGGACCTGCAGCTAAAGGAAAGAAGGGAAAGAAATGAGGAGCTTTCCGATGTGAGATCTACTCTTCTGCTTTTATGGGTGAAGGCTTCTAGAATAAATATCCAGACATATATTTAAATCTCGGGGCGGCGTTGATATTTTTGCTTTTTCTGTATCGTTTGGCTAAAATCAATCTATACAACATTACATCTATCCTATTTTTATGAGCCTATATCACCTTCGTCGTTGCTGTCTTGTACTTGTGTGATCATCATGCTATGCTTGCAGATCTCCACAAATAAATCATCATCGAATTTCCATCAGTGTAATAAATCTATGATCTAAGTTGTTTTCGAACTATAAAATTATTCAAGTAGATAAGAAAGTACCTGTCAAGTTGTGCTGTCCCGAAACTCAACGTTATGCCGTCATGTCGCCATGCCCCTTTCCGCTTTCCCTATTCCCCACGCCACCTTCCTGTTCATCTTCACTCAACACGACAGAACACTTGATAACTATGAAACCAAACAATGGCCTTCACTCCATTAAATGATATAACATATAATCGAAGGCATGGCGCAGTGGTAGCGTATCTGATTCCAGCTCTTAGAATCTAGATTCCAGATGGTCCTGGGTTCAAATCCCAGTGTCTTCCTTAGTTTGATTTTTTGGTAGTTTTGGTTTCTTTCTTTTTGAATGAGAATAGCATATAGAATCCTAGTTCTACCCATTCATATTATGAGGGTGAATGAGGGTGGATGGAATGAAGGATTTGAAAAGGATGGTTTGTTTGCTTGGTGGCTTCCTTTGGAAACAGGGAGTGAGGGTGAGGTGGGACAAGTTTTATTTTCTTTTTGTCTGGGGGAACTGATGGATATCAAGTGAATTGGTAGAAAAATGATTGACTCGCTCTCTTTTCTTATTTCAATACTACTTAAGTTCTAAAATAGGTCAATCCATATGTATTCAAGTCCGAATGTGCAACGGCATCAGGAATATGGTTACCAGGACTGCAATTCACGTCGATTCTCAGCATACACGAGTTCATATCTACAACAACCTTACTATCATGAAATTACGCTTCTTTTATGATATAATGAGACTTTCATGTCAGTTCATTGTTAAATCACGTTTCCCTATTGATCAAACGGGGGCGTTCTTGCACGCTGTACCCATCCACGAATTCATCCGTCCTCCTCTTCTACCTCCAAAATTCAGACCAAATTATCTGCTCTTATAATCCATCACAAATCTGGACAAGAAACTCCATGCCCATACTTTCGGCTCCAAGATTGATATCCTTCAACATGAACGCGCTCAAATCACATGTTTCCGGTACCCATTCAACATCACTTTTTGGCAAATGAGACATCTCAGAGTGCAAAAAACTTTCGGTCTCAGCCTCTCGATAGTTGATTGTATCTGGGAGCAATCTAATGATTTTGTTCCATTTCATTTTTCATCGGACGTTTCCAAGTCACCTACGCAATTGGAATGAGGTATGGTAGGACGCTTTCTTTGTATGCTCCTTCATCTTGTCAAGTCGACCTTCGATATGAGAAATCCATTGACGAGTAAATACATGGCGGCGTCTTGGGGCAATGAAGAGATTTTTGATGACGAATCAGATGCCCCCGACATGCAAGGGTCGAAAAACAGTTGTAGAATGAACAACGAATACGGTTGCTGTCCTATGTACCGCGAGACTTGGAGCCCCTGGAGGCTTTCTTACAATTTGGATCTGGGGCGATCTTCAGGTGTCGATCTCGATCAGTATAGTGGTCGGACTGGGGACTGAAAGTCGTATGTACGGGACGTTGTTAATACCCATGCCTGAAGTTAATGGGACTCATGACGTTTCCGGTTTGATAATTCTAGGCAAGAACATGTATCGATGAAGTTAAGATCGGAGAGCGGCGTGTTGTGACTGGTATCGAAAGATATGCTAGGACGAGATGAGTATAGATTTGGATCGATATTGGGGAATGTCTCTTCAAGCATGTTCCTATGGCAGCTATGTGGTGAAGGATGAAAGCAGTCATCTGAAATCAAGCTGTTCTTGCCGGCTGAGCTTGTCACAAAATGTTGGGAAGGGGATGCAATAAGATCACTCATTGTGGAAATGTGAATGATGGAAAGAAGATAATGGATTATGGTCAATGAGTGCAGTACACGACAAGACACTGAACATTTGAACGTACGTCTCCTCACCCGTGGAATGAGTGCTATTTATCTCACTTGGAGAGTTCACTGACATTATGGTGGTCTTCATTCAATGGTCCTCACATCTTACACTTTGCGGAACAGACCAGAGAATTGAGAGCCGCAATTCTGATGGTTCTACATGGATAACATGCTCGTATCAGTTGAGATACATTGATGAAGAGAAGCTACCAGATATCTAATTATCGGTCTTTATTTTCCAATGCGTACTCAAAAAACGTCGGACAGTATTCTATACTCAAATGTCGGCCTACAGATTGGCGGTATCTACTGATGTATTATTCTGAGCTCGACTGCAGTTATTTTGGCGGTCTTGTGTATTGTTCAGCCCTCCTGTCATCAGCAGTATTGGGGCGTTGAGTTGACCAATCAACGTACCTTTTGAGTTGACCCCAAATGGTTAGTACGAACTAAGGTTACATCAACTATTCAAGGACCACCATTGTCCAGAAATTGCATGTTCGAGGCACGCCAGCAAACTTGAGAGACTCGAGCCTCGACATAATTCGATTCAGTTTTGACATTCTCTGGTGCGATTGGAATTCATGATTTCTCTCACTATCGGTCCTAACTTCTCATGTTCGTAAGAGATATAAAGAACCAAACTCTAGAGAGCGGTCGTTAGAATCTCCTCTCATTCTTGTATTTGGTACACGGAATCATGCATTAGCTTTGAATAGATTCTTGAAGAGAGAAAGGCTTAAAACCTGCCCCCCAAGGAGCTCCAGCAGAGGGGAACATTACCAAATTCAATTCTCCAACGGATTAACACCCTACTGGAAATATATCCTTTTTTCTTGACTTCTATAACTCATTCCAAGCCGACATCTCGCCTCGAATTTAGGTCATTCAACGTGGGATCTTCAAGTGACGTACAATTACTAGGTAAGCACGCGAGCACAGCTACCTTTATCGCGTTGTATCTCCGATCGCATGTTGACGAAATGAATAAAGAAATGAAGATTTCTGGCAATCTTGAGTTCTACCGAAAAATTCTAGATTTTGAGAACGACACCGGCAAACATGAATTGATACTCGGAAATCTCGATCGTTCACAGCAAAGGGCAATTCATTCAATTGCTGATAGTAGGAACTTGAACTATGAACATCGTCATGGTTATGTGAGAGTCTTGCGTAATTGTGCTACCAATTGGAACATCGAGGTTATGATCGAAAACTCTGGTGCGGAGCTCATCGATTACCATGAACCAATCGACTCCGGAAGACCCCTGGACGAACAATCCCACTCCGAACTCGATCTCTTTGGCTCTAATACAGAAGTAGAGCCATTGCTTCAATTTTTTAGTGTGCCCATTTCCACTGGAATTGCCCAGGACAATGTCGCGTCGGAAGGCTTACCGTTAGCACAACCCGAAACTGGCTCGCAATTAGATATGCCCGAGTATGAATCTGTGGTAATTCATCAGCTATCAACGGAATCGAAATGGACTTCAATACACATGTCGGCGAAGAAGTTACTTTCGCTGCAAATTTCGGCACACCAGGATCTCCTCGGACAATAGTGATTATGACCCTATTCAACAGAATATCCAATGCCAAGCATATGTCTGCAAAACTTGTCAAAAATCCTTAAATCAGCAGAAATTTTTAGACCATCACCAGACGTTCTTAAACCGCCACCTCATACTTCGCCCACTTAGTCCGACAATTAAAATATCGGAGCGTCATTGACCGACGAAGTATTTTTGACAATACCTTTATACGCCCCCCTAAACTCTTCGAGTCGGCGGAACTCAGGTTCCAACTCCTTTAACTCGCCCATACTACTATCACCAGTTCCTTTATCCGTACATGACCCTTCAAAATCACCACTTGATAGATTTGAGTGCAAGGACTACATAAATGTGCGAGTGGAAGTAGGTCAGGATCCGTTTCTAGTCTTCGGGGCGAGCATGGACGTAATCGAATTACGCAAACCTCCAGGTATTCAAGCGTAAGCAGAGACAAATCTTTGAAGAGTCAGACGATGGATGACACACATGATTCACCGTCTAGATGCACCTCCTCTGGAGGATCTGGTCGGAGTGGACCCCTAACTTCTTTTGCACGCATCGGCACGAAAGCTATCAAAATGATCGGAGGAGCGTGTTGGAAATGCCGAATTCTGGGCAAAAAGGTTAGTCTATGAAATATTAGAGACTGAATAATGCTAACGCCGGTTAGTCTACAGAAGAGAATCCTTGCGATACTTGCCCAAAACGAAACAAAGCTGGCAAAACAGCTTGGACTCAAATTGGTTGTAAACGAGGCACGCTCTCAGAGGAGATGGAGTCTATCGATCTCTGTCGAAATCATATTCCTAGCCAATGCCTTCTGGTATCGATATTTTTTGTCTTCAATGCCGGCGTCGTTGGTGTCAAAGCTCAGACTCGCATGAAAGCAAATGTCCAAGACGCCACGGTAATTGGACCTTTCATATCGGATCTCAAAATAGTGGCAGGTTGTGATTCGTGTAAAAGGTGCAAGGCTTGTTTCTTTAACTTCCAGCGATGGGTTCAGTCCACTAAGAAATTTGACAGTTAGTATGTACAAGGTGGAAGCCGTCCTGCGAAGCTTGTCAAAGTTTCCAATGTCCATGTATATATGGTGGAGTATCGGAATTAGATGGTTCCGAAGTCGAGGACTACAACGTTGCCAGCCTATCAGTACAACAGAAAAGTGGCAATCTTATGGATTGAATAGTTCAGGACACTTCTTCCAATATCTGTTTCAGGATGATAGACAACCGATTACGCGTGAGGCTACTACAAATAATGAACCTCAAACAATTCTTTCAAAAAGATGTTGGAGGGGACCCCAACCTAACAAGCCAATTGAAGTAGACGACATTGCAAATCTCTTTTGTGGAGGGGCTCCACTTTCAGAAACGGCAATGAAGATATTGTACGGAAAGTGTGGGGAGAAGCGATGGCCGCACAAGCTACCACGGCAAGTTATCTTTTCTTACCGAAGCCATCCTTTTTCTCGTTTTCCATATGATAACGTCTAGTTCTAGAATCCACATGAGTTTCCGAGAGGTTCACTGGAAAATTCATCCGAATGTCCCGGTCCGGTAAGGACACTATCAGCTTTCCAGCTCTTGGTAGCCGTTCTCACATCCGTACATGTCGAACCATTCAGACGAAGGCTGCGCGAATATTAGATAATTTGTGTGCTTTACAACAAGCAACTCTTGAAGTGAATAACGACAGGAGTTTTACTTCAGTCAAGATGTTCGTGTGCGTACACCATTGGTAAAGTGATTAAAATAAGGAACTTACTTACATGATTGGTGTACATCAGGATACAAGTTATTGGTATATTCCAATTCATACTGTTACGACTGGCTTTGGCGCCATATATGAGAAACGGATTGGAATGGGTTAGAATGTACGCAATTCACGACGCGTTCCTCTTTTGTCATGGGTCATTCTCTTAAGAATTATGAATGCCATGTCGAAGCTTGCGCCAGAATGAAAATTTTCCACGGGGTGCACCGCCACAGAGTACCCACCGCGTCAACATTCCTGGGGAGAAGGGATCGTGTAGTACAACGCCGATTGAAAAATCGATCTAAGGTATATTTAAGCCATTGGCAAGCGAATTGTCGGTTCAGAAATAGAAAAGGGGAGACTGAACCGCTTGACAAACCATACGAGCCGGTTCAACCGAAGTAATTTCGAAATGCATCAGTTTCGGGCGACCACGTGCACAAGCCCCAGAAAATCTTGGCGGAAATTCTGCGTTGTCATACCGAGTACTTTGATCTCCGTAACCCTTGTTATATCGATAAGGAATTCACCGCCACTTTTGAAGTTAGAGACTGCGATTACTCATTCATGGACTTGAAATTTATCTATGGAGAGATGCATACGAAGGACTGCCAACTCACAATCCCGATCCAATGATGTTCGTGGATTCATAGAGGCGGCCATGAAATTTGGCATCTAAAGGCGAAAGCCTCGCGGCTCAACTGGGGCGCAGGTGAGTATCCAACGATGGTGAGTGGCAAGGGCTGGTTCTTAATTTTCATCGGTCCAGCCATTTCTCTTCCTTTTCTTACATTTTTTTACACAATCAAATCTAACAGCCCTTCCCAGAAATGTCGAGTATGAGTACCGAGGAATTATTGAAGAAACTCGACGATCAACATCAAGCTTACCTCGAGACATTCAAACTTGTTCACGATGCCCTAAATAACAGCATCACAAATACAAATCCTGTTAGTGCGGCACCACAAAGTCCTGGTTCCATCCGAACATTTACAAAACGACGAAGAAGATCTACCAAAGATGATGGTGACATTCCCGAAATACGACCATCGACACTTCACAGCTCCGTTTTATCAGGAGACAGTGACGATAGCGATGATGATGACGATTTATATGTTCAAACACCTCTCGCACCTTTCAAATATGACGAAGAACAATTACGACAGCATTTCAGAACTTATAATTTCACGGACGCTGGTCATATAATTCTTGAAAGTGTGATTACGAAAAATGGACGACTTCTAGATCCTGTTCTATTTCCAGATTATCATAGAGCTGATCGATCCCATAATTCCCATTATTCTGTATTTGATGTTGGAAAAGATGGAGCCCCTCTATCTAGAAGAGATGTAGTGAAACCAGGTACTACCAAAATTGATTCTGCTATATGGCAAGCGGTTAAAGTGAGCGAATGCATCTACCATGAAAAGATCTTTGCATCTAAGATTTTGAGTGTAGGACTTAAATAGTGATTCCGAATCGCTCCGGCCGGCTGTGGGAAGGATAACGTGAGTCTTTCCTTCACTCCTATATTGATTATTCCTTGAGCTAATTTACCTACGCAAAAGAATTGTTCGAGAACCATCTCCTGTCGTACTTGGGGCCTTACATCTCACTTTGAATAAGACTTTTGACATGGATGAATTATTCAATCATTTAGTTTCCGACGAAGTTACATCTGTATGTGTGTTTGACTGAACAGATTCATGAAAGTTTTTTTTGGCTTACATGATGTGACAGGCCAATATAATGCGAAGACCTTTCTCTGCTGATAGCCGACAACAAAAGTCCTTTGTTTTTAACTTTGAGTACTGGACAATCGTGGGGGAAGAATGTCAACCAATGCCTTGGCAACTGGCCGACAAAACCCCAAGCACTTCAAAGGATCACATCCCTATATCGAGATGTAACTCCGTTGTAGCTCTCTCCTTATCTGGTGACCCTATCCGAAAGTTGAGAAATCCTGCTAGACGTGCTAGTACAGACTATGGGTATGTTTATGATCCATGGGCAGCATGGCACGTTCTCAATATTCAATGCTATCCAGACCATCGTCATACCATGGATGTCCATGATTCAACCAAGCATTATGTAAATGGACCGGAAGCTTTTCTCCATACACTGCTCTCAGAATTTAGAGATGCAGAAAAGAGATTCGAAGCAATATATATGAAGATCAGTAAGCTCGTTTCACCACCAGTAAGTTATGTTCTCGATTCCAAAAATTCATTTCGTACTGATCCATTCTCCAGGCAAATTTTATGTTCGATGGGGAAATTAGAGATAAATTACTTTTCGAAGATGAAGAATTCACCTATTCCCGTCGCTATTTCTGGGCCTATCAAACACTCGGTCTATTGAAGAATGGACTTAAAGCCATGATGGATAGTTACGAAGATACGTTTACCGATGATGTTTGGGAGGGAAAACATAAGACTCTATGGCCAATGTTGGATCCGGACTCCCATCGGAATAAATATTGGCAAAAACGCATGCAAAAATTAAAAATAGACTTCGAAAAGCAGATGGCTAACCTATTCAAACTTTATGAGGAAACTGACGAAAAAATGAAGGAGATTAGAACCTTGAGGGATCAACTTTTCTCGGGTACGAGTGTTTTGGAAAGTAGAAAGAGTGTGGAGATGGCCGCGGTTACTATATTACAGGGTCACAATATCAAACTATTGACTATGGTTTCGATATTCTTCCTTCCCCTCACCTTTGTAACTTCGGTATATGGCATGACGAATATGACCACTGATCATGATTTTACCCCTTTCGCTATAACGATGGCGACTGTCTGTGTTCCTTTCTTCTTTTTAGTTGGAGCATTAAACACTACCAGTGGTATGCAATTTTGGAGAGTAAGGTGGTATAGGTTTTTGGGATGGTTTGGACAGCAAGGTATTCACTCATCGTCCACTTCACCATCATCTTCGGCGGTCACTAAGACTTCATCATTGATGGGAGGTATGTACCAATTTATTTGATAACAAAGAGGATGAGAAAAAAGCTAACATCTTCAAAGACCCCTCACAATCGTATCCCAGTACAAGCTCGAGTTCCATAAACATTAATCACGATAAACCTAAACCTCTTCCACACTCATATTCAATCAATACCGCTCAATCTCTTGCAGCTCGGAAAGAGCTTACCTCGAATAGTAGTCATAAATCTCCAATCAAGTCACCTTTTTCGCCATCAACCACGCCATCTATGAATCCAATTCCAGAGCATCCATTATCAATGCCAATGACTTCGTATACGCCTACACCAAGACCAAAATACACTTCGATATCTTCAATCGATACCATTACAGCAACAACTGGCCCGAGACCTAGCTTGACAAGAAGTGCGAGTTGGTGGGATATGGCTTTGAAAAAGGGAAAGAGAACTGTCAGTTCTAGAGGGGAGGGATTTGGCGGAGTGTGATTTGAAGCGGGTTTTTGAGTACCCGAATCAATCTTGGTCTGCTTCAATTTATGCAGCTGTTTTCATCGTTTTCATCGTTTACCTCAAAGTCGAAAACTTCCCACCCTTACTCAAAGTGAGTCTACCTTATGTGTATGTTGGAGATTCGGGGTATTTAGCTAAGGATGTTTCTTAAGGTCGTTGTATCAAACTAATGAATGTTATCAAACCAATGAATGTTGTTGCATTGAAAGTTCATTCAACTTTTACCATCCACATAAACTCTGTGTTTATTTGCCCCATATATAGCGATCCAGATAGAAATTCGATAGTGATTTCGAATAATAGACTCGGACGGAAAACCTCAGCTCTGTAAGGACTCATTGTTTTATTGGAGATCCCAAGGCAGTAAGTAGTGCTAGAATAATGAACAGAGAGAGGAAAAATCTTTATGGGCGGGACAAAAATGAGGAAAACGCCACAGAAAATTGGGAAAGAGGTCAAAGTGGAATTAATATGTGTCATCATTGTAACCCGAATCTCACACGTTCATCAATTTCTTCCATCTGCTCTTTATTTATTCACGAGGCATAACATTCACCACCAAAAGACATCATTCTTTGTAAGAGAACTTACAATATCATGCATCACTAGCAATCAATTTTGACCAAGTACATGTTAAAAGCTTTGCATTACAGAAAGTACAGACTGTGTTGTGATTCAACCGTCCGTGCTATATCCATGTCTTCGTCCCACGTACTCTTCTCCATAAACCATATTTTTTTTCTGACGCCCATGACTACCCGCAAAATGCCAGTAACCCATGATGCCTTTAACTGCTAAAACTTATCCAGCCAATTTCTGAGTTGCTTTCTCGTCAAGAACGGGTTCTTCAACGGAAGCTTGACGTTTGACACTACCACCTGCGGTACCAACATATACTGGCAGAGCTGGAATAGATCCGGGTTGATGCCAAACACTCATGATGTATTTACATTTCTTACAGGGGCGAATGGCTGAGACGGATCCATATTGAGAGGTGTGGCATGATAGGCAGTACCAACTGTTAGTTAACCCCATTGATGCTTGTTGTTATGAAACTTTGTGATTTATCGAGATGTGATGTCGCTTCGAGGTTTCTGAAGTTGTTCGACTTTGATTCAATTATCGAGATTGTTTTTATGCTCTAGATGTTTTTCTTTCGAGGTTTGGAATAAACTTGTGAAGATCGTGGGCTATATCTTTAATAACTGGCTAGTGATGCATTTTCATTGCCTAGGGATTTACAGCAAGTGTTAATGGAAATGATAAACCATTTTGGAGCATAGAACTGAGGGATTTTGAGCCATTCAGATTAGGATGTTGTGCATGAACTACCTTGTTGAGGTTTGGAATTACTTTAAATGTCTATTCACAAACACTTACATGAAACTTATGCTTACTTCTGGAGCTTCCGAAATGAATTTGAATCCCCAAGTGGAATGTAATCGGGCAAAAAATAGAAATAAAACATTTGGGTCTTGCACAACGGTGATTTGCTATGGAACGGAAGGTTTCGATGTAAAGTATACACTCTGAGTCACTGAAGCCCCTGCACCAGCAACTTAGAATGACTAATCCTTGAAGATTCAGAATAACGATACATCTTTCAATCATGGTTCGCTGCTATTTAAGGGAGATGAAGTCCTTTAATAGAACTGGTTCGCTACTTCAACGGTCCTTTACTACAAAACATTACAAGACGCGCGTCTCAGATCCTAAAGATCATCACACCCTCAATTCAGAACATCAGCACCACTACAAGAGAAGCAAATCATACACCAATCAAGATTTGAAAAGATGACTAGTCCAGTCAAAGAAGTCAAAACACCTGCTCATGAAGATGCCATCAATTTTCATTGTCTAGTTTGCGGATTGGACGATGAAAATTGCCGAAACATACCAATAAAGCAGTGCAAGAATTGTCGCACCCGGTGGGAGATGAATAGTAAAGGGAGAGTGGAAATGTAAAAGACGTAGCTTGTTCACACGATGATATCGTGAGAAGAGGGAATGCGGATTTTTTGAATACTGAGACGAAATGAAGAAGGAAATGGCAGTACATTAGTGGTTTCAAATGAGATGCTACAGGAGCTCACAGATTTGAATTGGATTTTGAGTCATAGAGGGGACCTGAAAAATAATGTCTTCATATCTGTTCCGGAGACAATCTGATACCCATGAATCTAAATTTCGAGAGCCATGATTCAAACTTGCACATGTGACAAGATTGTATAGCGAGATTGATTAGGATAATCGAACTCGGTGTTTCCTACGCCATTCGGGAATCTCGTACAGCCTCTCTGCCGGATAATTCACCGCTTGAATCTCTGCGGAGTCATGGAACTGCTTTGATTCACAGCTTCCAACAGTGAATATATATCTTATACATTCAGATTGAAGAATAGATTTACAAAATGAACCACCATTCACATATCAATAAGAGTATATCTCAATTTTAACATGGATCAATCAAGTCAAATACCTTCAAAGTACATCTTTCCTAGAAAATTCCTCAGCGATCACAACAAATTCCAAGGAATTGACTCCAAGACTTTTATTCTATTCTAACCTTAATGAATGAAGGATCAGACAATAGTTCAAAGGGTTTATTAATTGATATAGGGCACAGAAAAAGGTTATAAAGTATTAAAAAGGTAACTCAAAAGATGATCCCTTATATGCCTCACTTATTAATAATATATTAATAAAAACTGCCTTTCTAATTCATCTTCCTTTTACTAAAAAAATAATAATAAATATAATTATATACTCAAATCTAAGATCTTATAGTATTTTTAATATATATCTTTACAAATAAATATTTCCTTAAAACGTTTCACTCCTAAACTACACACAAATTATCTATACCCATGAATTATCTACAGATAATCTGCTCCACAAATTATCCATTAAAGATTCTACCCGCTTCATAAATTATCTATTAAGACTTTAAAATTACTTACTCCATACAAATAATCCACAAATTATTTATAAATAATCTATCTACTTATAAATAAATGAATTATGCGTAAATATATAGATTATCTATAAATAATTTACAAATTATTTATAAATAATCCATAAATATATAAATTCTTTGTTTTTTTCGTTTAAAATATAAAGCTATTCCTAAATTATTTTCTAGTCTAAAAGTAATCCAAGCTTAGATTTATACTAATTTTTATATTAATTATAAGATTATATTAATATTATAAAAGATTATAAATAATTATATAATATACAAATAGGTAAATATTTATAAGTAATTTATACCCGCCCCACAAATTACCCATCCAAATTCTGAATTATTCGCTCCATAAATGAATTATTCGTGGATTATCTGTCGAGGCCATTATCCGCCCTGCGAGTACTCGTTGCGCAGCCTATTCACTCCTAATTATATCTTATCCTCCCTTTTAAAATTATATCTAAAAATTACTTCATTTTTCTTTTATTATAATCAATTTTTTCAAAAAAAAAACGAATATTATAATCTTCTCTTTTCAATATTTCAAATAATTCCATTCCTCTTATAACTCCCTTATACTCTTAAAATCTCAATTCCCTTTCCTAAACTTCCTAATAATTTCCTTTTCCTTTCATTAGTATAAATATTCTAGTAAATAAAAAATAATTCTTTTTCTTTAGATAAAAGAATTTAAAATAATCTTTATAATAAGTTTTTGAAATTAGAACCTTATTTGTTTATTTTAACTTATAAGATTTCCTTTAATTCTTAACTTTCCTAATAATAACAAAAGATATTACGATATACACGTGATCGCGTCCGATCGAACTAAGTACGATACTAAGCTTTAAGCCGATCGTATATATAACTTTATAGTATATTTTCTCTAGCTTTATAGCTTTTAATTTTAAGATTAATCTTTAAACACTTATTGAATTCGTTATATTATTAAAAGCTCTTCTAGATAAGAAATAGAATAATATCTATATATATTTATAAATAAAGCTTTTAATGTAGTTTAACACCGAATAAACTATATCACCAAATAAATCATTTTCATCTCAATTTATACCTTCAAATATAGATTATTCAATAATTATTGAATTAATTGATTTAAATTATTAAAAATCTAATAATCTAGAATTTATCTTTTTATATTTATTATAATATCAATTAGAAAATACTTTTTTATTAGAATTTCCTTTTTTTTAATGTTTATTATGTTAAATTTGAATATTAATCTTTTATTGAAATAATATATTAAAAGTTTTTTATTTAGTAAGTACTCCTTCTTAATATAATTAAGTTTTTTATATATATTAATATTTGCTTAATATTTTATTTATTGTTCGAAGTATATGATTCTCTATATTTAAAATTATATTTTTATGAGCTAATCTTTCTATATTTTTAGTTAAAATTAGTATAATTTTAAATATAGGTGTAGAAAAGCTTAATTAATAATAAGTTATTTGAGATTTAATTAATATTGATTAAGGAAAAGCTTCAATTAGGTTGTAAAGGGTTTAAGAAATTCATTAATCTAGATTGAAAAAGAGGGGGGTAGGTATACAAATTCGAATATCTAATTTCGAGAGTATAGCTTTAGAATTAAATAGAATTAAATCTATTCTTCGAAATTTTGATTTTATATTCTAAAAAATGATTGATTTTTTATATATAGTTTTAAAAGCTATAAAGAATTTAATCTTCGAAATATAATTAATATATGTTGATAAATCCATTAATTTGATTATTATATAAACATTTTAGATTATTAAAACAACTAACATTAAGTAATTAAATTAATTAACTTAAATATAATAGTAAACATAAATATATAATATTATTCTCTTTATAATATATTTAAAAAGCTATTAATTTATAATTTTTATACTTGTTCAATATCAACATTCGATATTTGCTCTTTTTTTAATTTTTAATATACTTATCAAAATATTTCAATTATTTTAAATCTATCTCATTATTTGTTTATCTATTAAATATAGGTTTAATAATTCAATCTATAGAAAGATTGATTTCAATATATTAATTAAAAAGATGAATCTATTCTTAAACTATTAGAAATAAAGGAATAATTTTATCCTCTTCATTTCCATATATTATTACTATAGTCCATTCTCAATTGCCTAGTTATACTACCTTACTTCTACTATTTCGTTCAATATTAATTGTTATTATTATTATATATATAATCTCCATTATAAAGTCTATTTCATTAAAATTTTAGAAATCTCTATCCAAAATACTATATTTCACTTATATATTTATAATTAATCAAAACTATTCTTCAAAAAACTTAGAATCCTTACAAAAAGCTCTTTAAAAGTTATAAATACAATTAAAACATATTTTTAATTCGATTCAACGTTTTACAAATTGATATATCTAAAGCTTCCCAATATATTTTGTACCCTTCAATTCGAGAATATAATTTACTATATCTTCTATATTCTTAAATTTAAATAGAAAATCTCTTGAATTTATATCAAGAATTTATTAAATGATTACTTTCTCTTTCAATTCTGTAATCTTATAATAATTTATTCAAATCTCTATATATAAAAGTAAATTATTTATTTTATAGCTAATTGTTGTACAAGATATATTATATAATGAAGTAATTTA